TTAGTGGGCGGGAGCAATTTACAAATTGAAGGTCAAGTTAGTGTGTCCCATATATAGGAACCAAGTATCCAATAACGTTGGTGTAGACAAAATTCAAGCATTAATATGAAGTTAAAGTACAACAGATATTACACTGAATCACACAATATCTTTTGTAATAATTGCGTTGAGAGTGCATAAACATTTCAACTCATTTTATAAATGCAACAGTTCATTTAACAAATTTATATCGCACATATAAGAAATCAACCACTTAATAGTCTTCTGCAAAAAATAGCCATTTACTTAAGATGTAGTCTAATACATAAGGAAAGTATTTTAAGTACGCTTAATTATTTTGTGAACGGGGCGAACATAAGCATTTACAATGTTTATTGTGTCAACCCTTTGAAAGAATCCTAAACCTGGATCCATCTTCAAAGTGATTATACAATTAATATCCAGATATTCGTGTATAAACCAGTTTGCGGAGTAAAGTCCTGGAAATATTTACTGTGATTTTTGCTAATGTGGTAGGGTACCCTCTAATACTTTTAAAAAGGCCATATATACCAAAAATACCACTAGAGTGAATGCTCTGCTTTCAGGCACACCCTGAGCATGTTATTTAAAATCGCAATGTTGCATACAAATAAAGTTGTGCAGCAGCCATGCGGTGTGATTTTAGAGGCTTTGTTGTGAGTACATACCTTTATCTTGTCATCATCAAGCCATTGGGCGGAAATCTGGTTTCCGCAATAAATGCCATTAAGTTTACGGTCGGAGAACCCGTTTGGTCGACAAATATTATGCAAACATCTCGGTAGGTTATGTAAGGCGTGTGACTGAAGTGGCATTTGTTGGAAAAAAAACAAACAAAAAAAAACAATGCGTGCGCTAAATATTTTCCACTATTTTTTTCCTTGACAAAAAGTAAAGTAACTAGATAAATTAAATCACAAAAACATAATTAAATGTTTGACAAAAATACCTAAATGTTAAAGCCATTTTTGCACAAGATAAATTTGATGTTGCTGGATTGTCCTAAAATTCCAGCTTGCTGAAGCGCCTCTGCTACACTGAAATGAGCCGTAGTCACGGAAACATCTTGCTGATTTTGGAGTTACATGTTTATTACATTTTTATTACATTAATTTTTTTGTGAACGCACTAAAGTTTTGCTCAAGTTTTGCATTTTAGTGCATTTTACTAAATAATGTACTTGGGATGTAACTAATGATGAAAATTATTATCAGTGTGGTAATACGTTTCTGACATAAATCGATGCATATTTGGACAGGGTCTTCTACTACATGCATCATGCACCCATTTTCTGTGCAATTTCTGTGCCATTTATTGAAGGTTACAATGAGCGTTTGGTGAGTGGTTATTCTGAAAGTCTCTTTTTGAGGCATAATTTACGTGGTAGAACTGTCTGCAAGACAATGGAGACATCACTTCTTCTTTTTATTATTATTATTATTATTCGAATAAAACGCAAAAGTCCGTAACTACTGTATTAGTCGAGATTTGGGATTTAAATTTCAGAGGTGGAAACACGTGAAAATAATTGCATAAAGTAATAGTATTTTTGTGTAACAGTATATACAATACTGTATTAATATACGCTTGTGTTAAAAAAAAGGTCTTCGAATGCGGCAAAGACAGCTTTTTTTGTATACGACTGGTGTGTGAGAGGTTGTTCTTTTTGCCATGAATAGCTATAGCGTATCTCAAAACAATAACGGTGTTTCATCTTTTTGCACTCCCTCAAATTTCACGGAAATGGACACAGTTAGCCATCTCTATTGTAGCTAAAGTTATTTTTAAAATCACGTGTACCCCGACTAACAAAATAATTAAATTCACTCAATATAATAAAGACTACTTCTGTTATCTGTCCATGATGTAACTTTACATTTTGAGCAACAAACTTCTAGGATTTCTATGACTGATATGTCTAATTGATACAACTGGGTACTGGATGCCTGTGCTAACGCTCTACAGCTATGCACTAGCAGAGACCTCTGTAAAAAGAAGGGCCATTTTTGTTGTTGCTTGAATCTGTTCACAGCTCATACGAGCGAGTTTAACAGCCCGACTTACATCCAATTAAATTTATCTAGGCCATGAGGGGACAGTAATGCTATTACACAGTTTCCCTTTTTAGCCCTGCTGAGGTTTTAGCCCTAGAGGTAAACTGAAGGGCCATTGAGTGTTGCCTACAACTGTTGTTTGGTCTCGTTGATGTATGACGACTACTGATTATGTTTCAATTTCTGTCGATGTTCCATCGGTATGAGGCCAAAGCATTTTTGTGTTGATGCACGAATGAAAAGTCGATGAAACTGGCAACCAGACAAATACTTGCTGAGATTTACCGCTCGGGTTATTTCTCCAGATCTCTATGGTAAAGCATGAGCCGCGTCGTTTTAATTCGAGTAACAATAATGAGCGACTCCATAATTTTACTTTAACTCTATAATTATAGACCTTAGCTGCAAAGCATTGCAAAAATTCCATTGGCAATGTCGTAAAGCTCACGACTCTTCGTAGTGATGGTTTTTAGGAGGAGAATGGCAAACATTTACAACACCTCTGTCCCCAGTCTCTCTAGACTCTAAACGTCTTTCTAGCTTTTCTTTCCAGCTGAACTTGCCCCTTCAATTCAACTGCTACATCACAATATCCACAATTGTCCAAATCTCCAGCAGGGGCAGAGCATTTGTGGGGATATAGTGCTTGTTTAGAGAAAGAAAAGGGCGCGCCTTTGTTGAATTTCAGGGTCCTACAGCTAGTAGGATAATGTTTAAGCTGTGTGATGACATCGAAATAGTTGACATACATGTGTCTCCTGTAGAACAACGATGACAAAGTCAGGTACAAAATACGTCAGATAAGTAGTAGTTGTTGTTGTTACGCACTGCGGAAATACAAGTGTGGACTTCGGTGTGAAACAAACACGAACACAATGGGAACATGTTAGTTGTCAGTAGTTATCTCGCAAAATCTTTCTCGGATTAACACGTTTATACTAGACAAAAGGACTATATGACTCTGATGAGAAAAATCAATATTGTTCCTTATCATTAATGGTTTCACGATAGAGTTTTGGCTCAAATAGGTGACACGGATATGTTTACTTAGTTTGAGCTCCTTTAAAATAACTTTTAGACCTGGAAGACTGAAACCAGAATGCATCTTTCGTAGATCATTGTATTGCATATCTTTTTAGTTAAATATTTTATTCCGTAGGACTTTTTAATAATTTACCTTTTGTTTGTTTTCTGTAGAACAAAGCATTTCTTGCTTTTCCGCTGTTCGGCCTTTTATGGCGGCCGCAGTGAGAATTTTAGTGGTCAAATTCAAGTGCTGGGTCTGGGCAGCTGTCTGCTTTCTTTGTACTTGGTTGAAGGCATATTGCACACCAACCTTTTGTCAATTTTGAGAGGGCTCAGTTCAGAGACTCATAAAGTCATTGCCACATACCTTTAACACAAATACGCGATCAATATAGTAAAATGCGGTTTAAAAAGACAACTAACGTTTTAGTTGCGACGTCCAGTGTAGCTGATATGACTATTTTCCACTATCGGTGATAGTTTGTATATGTTAATGGGGGGAAAAAAGCTGTTTTGAATACATAATAGACCTATAAAAATAATATTTTTTGAAGAGAAACTATTAAAACAATTGTTAACATAAACAATGGTAAATGTTATTAGTCTATGGGATGCTTTGTGAAAAGTTTTCCTGACCGGTCATTAGATCTTTAGACATGCACATATGAACTAATAGTTAATTAAAAATAAATAAATATTTTTAAATGAGTGCTACATGCTGAATTCATTTTATTATTATTATAGTTTATTTCACGAATTATATTTAAATTTGAGAAGATTAGCATGCCCTGCAATGTTAGTAGAATGTTAGTATACAGATAGTTACTATAGATCTTTCAATATTAAAAAGGATTTTTAAATTAAAATCAATATTTTCAACATTCTGCTACAAAAACAAAACTTTTTAGGCTTAGTTTAATAGACGCTGGAGGGTACATACTGAAACTGGATAGCATGTTTTGCCTTAAACAGATGCCTCTCATAAAATGGTCTCAGAGATTTAAAATATCCAAGGGATCATTTGACGTACTTTACACGTTAAATGGCAAAACGTGTGGTGTTTGAACACAATAGTACATTACACATAATTTTATTTATTTTGTTTCATTCGAAAGATTTTTTTTTTTTTTTACATTCACCATAAAGTCATCTTGAGTCATAGGTGGCATCATTCATAGCACTATTTTTTAATTTCGTTGATTAAAACCAAGAGAAATTTTTTTCCCATTTTTAAATTAAACCACATCCAAACGTAAACATAGATCAGTGTTAACTTTGTGTTTATACAAGCAATGGCTGAAATTTCCGGGTAGATTCATAGATCATTTTCTGCACAAGTTCTTAATGTTTTTATCTCAACAAAAAAGACAAACTCACAATTGTTCTATTATTATATTCAAGAACTGGGTGGAGCGTACACGTGACATCTATAAGGCACATTTGCTTATCAAACCATGTAGCCTATAAACATATATGCTCTATGTATTTAAAGCATATATGTTTATATATAATATGACATGGAATGTCATAAAAATTCTATGCACTTGAACAAAAGCAACTTGACAATGCGCTAAAACGCGTCCCTTGAATATAAGCAGTGCAGCAATCAACACAACAACACAAAAATAAATCGTACCAGTCATATTTAACAGTCGTTCTTTTAAAGTTTTAATAGTTTGGTTACATGCGAAAGACATAGATTAAAACATACATGCTGCAATATACATGAAAACACAATGTGTTGTCTCAGACTCATAAAATCAGCGTTACTCAGTACCTACAGAGGCTCCAACACACGTACACATAAATAGAAAATACATCTCTTCGTTCTTACAAAACTCGCTTAAAACAACAACCAAAAGGTGTTACTGTTTTACATTGTCTTGCATGATTTGAAAATTAATCGTTTGAATCTCACAGATCTTACCCAGCTGAACCACTCCTACGCATCCATGTGTTCCAAATTGATATATGACAATATCTACTTTCGATCACGTGTTGCGGGGCGATTTAGACGGATCGCGCGTCATCTCGCCTTCCCAAATTTTCTCCTTCTGCAGCTCGAATCCAAAACATCATATCTGTAGTACGGACTACAGGAGAAAGATGTTTAACTCTGTTAATCTGGGCAACTTCTGCTCCCAGACGCGTAAAGACCGGACATCTGAGTTTGGGGACAGGACTGGCTGTGCCTCCAACATCTACCTCCCCAGCTGCACCTACTACGTTCCCGAATTTTCCGCCGTCTCTTCGTTCCTTCCACAGGGGCCCTCGCGACAAATCACATACCCCTATTCCACAAATCTATCTCAAGTGCAACCAGTGCGAGATGTTTCCTATGGTCTGGACCCCTCCAGCAAGTGGCACCACAGAACCAACTATGCATCGTGCTACTCAGGAGACGATCTGGTGCACAGAGACTGTCTTCCGCCATCCACCGTGACAGAAATGCTCATGAAAAACGAGAGTGTGTACAGCCACCACCACCACCACCAGCATCATCCGAACTCTAGCCACCCGTCCACTGGTTTCTACACCGGCGTAGGGAAAAGCAACGTGCTCCCTCAAGGTTTTGACCGCTTTTTTGAAACCGCCTATTGTAGCACGGACAATCAGTCAGAACATTGTTTACAAAAGAGCGAGATGAACAAATTAGAGACTTCGTCCCAGCAACCCACAGCTGTTTCCGCAGCGCAGGAGCCGGAAAAGGACGCAGAGGATGAGGAGGAACATACAAATTCGGGCTCGTGCACTTCAGCAGCTACTAAGGACGGCAACGCAAGCAAGAGCAGCCATTCGAGTAGGTACCGAAGCTGTAAATGGGGAAAGGTTAAGGGACTAGCCCGGTGTTTTGTCGGTCAGATTTTATGTGGAGTTTTATAAGCATTCAAAGGATTTTATTATAACCTACAACGCTCTTTCCTCCAACGAAAAGAATTTTTACGAGGGGAAAGCGCTTTGAAAAAAGAGGATGTTATACACAGACGCTACTATCCAAGAGTCTGTGAAATTTTAAGAGCGCGCTATTGTGACAAATGCTAACTTTGATCATGAACTTGCGTTGAGCATTGCAAGGGATTTTCTCGTTTAGCTGTCGGGGGTAAAAACCAATTGGGCAGAACATTACTTTTGGCATACTGTGAATTTTGTTTTAGCAGCTCGAATGTAAACTAGTTAAGTCCTTATTAGCTTTTAAACGGGCTGTGACTTGTTACCGTGGGGTTGATGTAGCCAGCACAGTCAATGGCCATACAATGTTAGTGCTTGCCCGGTGCTAATAACTATCAGATAAGACCAGTTATCTATCTATCTATATATCTATCTATCTATATATCTATAAATGAAAGAATTTTTAAAGAGGAATTTCACCTTTTGGAAATATGTTGCAATGTAAAGTTTGCCCAAAAGTAGCCTAAACATGAAGGCCAATCAGAACTGTCGTAATTATCTTTCAGAAAACACCACTGGATATTTTAGATTTTTGCGGTTTTGTCATTGCGGCGCTTTTTAAACTGTAAGTATAGTTTGCAGAAGAGAAGCTAGCATTCACGGCCATTCACAGGAGACACTGCCCCAGGCCCACAGTATTTGTTTGTATTTTTTTTTTTTTAAAGAACATATTACGCGTATAAGGTCAAGGGTTCTATAATTTGCGAAACACATTTATTAAATAATGATACAAAAATAGGAAAAATACATATACAGTAAATTAAAATTACTTTAGAGTTCCAAGTACTAAAAAAGTTGCCCGTTATCTATTGATAATACTTTATTTGTTTAGGGTTTTGCAGAGTTTAACAGTTTGTTTAAAAAAAGTTAGCTTATATTTACAGTTGTTCTACTATTTATCCACGGTTATAGTTTTGCAACGGAGCGACATGCATAGTTGGGTCTGCTTCCTCACATCTGTAACCTTAGATGAAATCACACACTGGAAATGACAAATTCGTCTTCCAGAAAAAAATATAAATAAATGTGTTGTGCATTTATAAACATCTCATTGTGTTATTGCAGAAAAAATATGTTTTATAACGTGATCATTTAAAGTGTCTCTTTTGATTATCCCAAGGTATCCCGCGCACAAGAAAGAAGAGATGTCCATACTCCAAGTTTCAGATTCGTGAACTGGAACGAGAATTTTTCTTTAACGTTTACATCAACAAGGAGAAAAGGCTGCAGCTGTCCAGAATGTTAAATCTTACTGACAGACAAGTCAAAATATGGTTTCAAAATCGTAGAATGAAAGAAAAGAAATTAAGCAGAGATCGCTTGCAGTATTTCTCTGGGAATCCGTTGTTGTAATTGTTGAAATGGCGTTGCCTTTTATTTAATATCTCTGCAAACTAAAATTACGTATGTCTAAAAATGCCCATCAAGCTAATTCAATCATTAGAAAATGTGTTTGTTACGGCCAGCAACAGTACTAAAAATTGTTAGACTTAGATTTTGATTGTAATAGCCGAGGGTGGGGAGAGAGAATGCAAATTTGCTTAATGTCAAATTAAACCGGCATTTCTAGTTTGTGATTCACAAACTAAAACGTACACCTCACAAGTTTAGTATTTTTGTGTGACGCATCTTTTAAGTGAAATGTTTAAAATCTTCACTTTGAAAATAGTCACAAAATAGCCTACTATAATATATTATAAAATTGTACCCTCTATCCTTTTATGGTTGTATATATGTACATTAAAACACATACACTCGACTCTGGTTCGAATCTGGAGATGTCATACTTTTTTATGTTTTCAGCATTTAGAACTGTGACTTGTACAATCTGTAATATTGTATTCCTTGTACAGAGATTATGCATTGTGCATTCATGAATGTAAATATAATGTTATTTTGAGTATCCTAACCCTATCCCTGCTGCTATTTTTCTTTACATTGCCTTTGCAGCCTTGTGAGCTTTGTCGTTCGATTCTTTAAATTATTTGCTGTACGCCCAAAGTTCTCATTTAGCTCAGCGATCCGATTTGGCCTGTGTACTACATATTAATCAAAAATAAACACAAATAAAGGTAAACTGATATGTGTCAACTGTGACTTGATTTTTTTTTTTTAATCATAAGGTAATCTATGGTGAAGTAAAATTTTGAATGTGTATAACTACACTGCAGTGAAAACAGAGATCTAAGAGAAGATATAATAAATTGACCACTGCCAAGTAATGAAAACTCTCTATCGCTCTCTCTTGCTCTATCTCTCCCAGTTCATCGTCTCCCTCTCACACGTTAGTTCAAGTCTATCAATGTTAAGCTATTGTTGTTTTGCAATGAAAACTGGCTAATAAATGTGTTTAATATTTAGAGTTTTTTTAGCAGAATTTTAGGAATGTTAAATAAAACTTTTTGTCAGTAGTAGTTTTATCAAAATGAGAAAATACTAATAATGATGATGACCAGGAAAGGGATGCATGAAACACGTCAAAAATGTAGAGAGCATTTCGGTAACGTCTTTTAGTACCTTCTAAATGGAATCGCCACTCTTGTAGTCTAGACACTGCAATAAAGCCAGAGCCCTAAATTGCCTTTTTCTCCGACTTAATTGCACCGTCTGTTCGAGGGGAATTGTGTTCACTTCCGCAGTAAATAATAAACAAGAAAGTCTGGCTGCTAGTACAAAAACTGAGACGTTTAAAAATGAACACATTGCCTATAGATGCAAGAAACCTATCAAATGATATCGCTGAGTGTAGTCCGTTCACATGGAATCATCTCTTCAGAAGAAGCTGAGCTGCGCGCATCTTGCATTCTAAGAGACAAACAGAACAGAAGTGAGATATTTATTTTGCGGTGTATGCTCACAGGGGTTGGGGGTATTGCATGTTGTCTCCATGTGCAGTTTTATATGTGATCACGCTATACGAATTTTGTCACAACATGTGGGCTCATAAGGCGTGCAAGTGTGCTGTTGGCACTTATGCGTATGAAGGAAAAGATATAATTAAAAGTTGTCTTTGAACTTCAATAATGTCAAGGCCTTCACCTTTAACCTATTGCAATAAAGCGGAATCAAGGAGCCCCTTTTGTCAGGAAACGTGGTGAACAGAACAGAACCAATCAGCGCAAGTGGGAAAGGACCAAGGAATGCCTAAGCAGCAACACTTTGACCTCTCGCATTAAACTACAGCAGGTAACTTTTCCAGTTTTAGCACTCCCATTAAATACACTTTATTGTCTCTGTAAAATGTAATATTTTCATGCATGAAATATTTTATGACATTTTAGCACATTCAAGATTGCTTGGTTGTGACTTTTCCAGGGTAACAGGAAATAGATTTCTGACGGATTTAAAACAGAGATCGGAGTATATATGCATTGATGCTCGAAAGCGAATAGAAAACGGAGGGGAGGTCCTTGCGCGCTGAATTAGTGTACTGATTTATTGCTGAGATTTAAAAACAGTTAACTGTATTGAAACACAACACATGCGTCCCTTTGTAAATTCCGAAAATAGAGACTTATGTGTGTGTGATGTGTTAGTGCAGCGGATTCATTGCCAGTGATCTTTGCTTGTAGAACTGTGGGAGAGAAATGGCGGGTGGGGTGGGGGGGGGAGGTGGGAGAGAAATGGCGGGGGGGGTGGGGAGGGGAGGGGAAGGTGGGCATAGGGATCAAGGCTGGAAGGCTTGTCTTCTTGTCACACCCACCAACCTTGGCCCTGGCTCAGTGACGTAGTTCATTTGCTGAATTCCTCTCTCTTGCTTCGTCACACTGAGGAGCAGGAACTTGGAACGTCCACCTATCAAACGCCGGAGATACTGTCGCCACCAAACCGAAGCAATCAGCTCGTAGACTTTTGAACAATGGTCATAAAATCTGCATTTCTTGCCGTGGGGTTGGTTTGATTCATACATGAGGCTTACCTAAACAAACTGTTTGTTTGTTGTAAGACGTTTTTCATTATGTGGCTATCCTATTTATTCCGAGTAGAATAGGGTAGTTATATCTGCAAAACGGAAAGCAAGGGTGGAATGGAACTCTTTCGAATGAGCTCTTAGCTGACAACAAGGAAAATGGCGGAGGCGTCAGCATAAAGACTGTGGACTTGTAAATACAATCTGGATTTCATTTTTACGTAGAAGTCACCATAATTCAACAGAACATTTTCGCAATATCTGTTAAAAACAAGGCTTACAAGGTTACTCTAACGTATTTGCATTGAAAATATCAAGAGAATGTCAAGATTCAAATTGTTCTATTAGGCCTATACTTGTCCCATTCGGCAAATAATTCTCACTATTCCAATAACTTCAAAAATACAAATGAGACACGTTTTTTCCCATCAGATTTTGTAAAATATTAGAAAGTTGGAAGTGACAAGACATATAGAGTTTCCAGTGTGTGTGGTCTGAAAGATTCAGTTGTTCATTGCTGTTTGTACTTCATGCATACAGTTGCGGACTTTGGACAGGGCCTATTAACACTCTTTGTCCGCTTATACTTACTTCCGCACTCCTGTACGTGATGAAAAGCTGTAAATACAATCGCCACTGATGCCCACACTAGTCATTTGTATGGTCTTTCTTGATATTAAAATTTAATATAATGCTGATGTGTTTTGCGATTACCACTCTCTGATTTATAAATGTCTTTAAAACGTTACATGCATCAACCATAAATTTCCATAGACCTCTGCGGGTGGACGCCTGTTTGTTGAGGGGAAACGGTTAAAAAGCGGGTCGCTTTAAATTGGAAATATGTTTTATGGTGGTTTAAGTTCCCAAAAAGGCACGGAATACCCATCGAATCCCCTGCCCTTTTTTTTTACTCGTTTCAAAGCCAGCAGACTAGAGGCCTACGCGGTTAAACAGGACATCTCGTGTTTCACTTTTTCTTTTTTCTTTTAATTGCAATTTTAGCACAGTTTACATCACAGTGCATGTAACGACCCTTAAAAAATTATCAGAAATCAGTACCTGTTAAGAAAACATTATCTTCGCAGGGAAAACATCCATTGGGAAGAACCAAATATAAAAAGTCTAATTCTTGTAAATATCTATATGCATATATACATAAAACAAGTATATGTTTTATATTAATATTATATATATATATATATATATATATATATATA